AGCCCTTATATGCACGATTGCAAACCAGCCCTCGCCCCTAGATGACGTGACAACTATACCCCTCTTCCTGTATAGGACCGTTGGAGATAAAATTACTTCCCCTATAAAGCGCTAAATGACTCACCACTTACCTATAATGTTTTCATTTGGCATTACGAACAGCTGCTAGCAATGCCAACGTCATACACCACCTGCGCTACATGAAGTAGGCTAGACATGCGATATTGCAAAATGCAACGCTGCTCCCAAAACAAAGCCAAACCAAACAAGCGTTGGCGAGTAATGTACACGAGAAGTAGATTTCTGTCAAAATGTAAGCGGAAACGCGTGAAATAGAGGGCATAGCTTTGCGCATCTCTGACGTTTACATTTATGGGATTATGACAGCTTTGAAAATATTAGGTGAAGACGTCACCAACAGTTTCAAAGTGGCTGACGCGCGACAGCCAGTGAGGCTAGGAAAAATATTTTTCTTGGCTAAGATGTTTTTTGGCTAGCATGGATTAACCCTCGCCGGCAGAGGGGGGGGGGGTTGATGCACCCCCCCTAAGGTTTTTCGCGAATAACTCGCGTAAAAAGCGACCGATCGCGACGAAACTTTCAGTACCCTCGCAGTGATCAATTTTACACCTACCCTGAAAATTTCATGACCCTGATCCAAATGACCTTTGACCTGTGACCTCTTTTCCGAGACCATGTTTGGCCGGAATCGCGATTCGGCGTATGTCGGCTCGCATTAGCCGCGCGTTTGCAAGCTTTTCGTGGTTTCAAACGTTCAAACATGTGATTTGATGTTGTTCCCATACATTAGGCTGGGTGTCAAGGTCACCTGAAGGTCAGGTCAGGTTATTGACCTTTGGTGACCTCGGGTGACCTCGGTTCACTTTTTCGAGTTTTACATGTTTCTAGGCTAGTTTTTGGAGCTGAATTCGAATTTAGCAACCATTTTAACATTTACGAAGTAGTTTTGGTGCCTTCGTAACATGTTACGAAGCTGTCAGAGGCGGTTGACATGTACTACGAATACCCGTCACAACCACTACCGGTTGACCTGACCTGACCTGACCCGACCTGGTCTAAATGCAAAAAGACATCATCTCTGACCAAAACTAACACGATATCCGTGATCAGCACCCCGTAAAACCACATAGCAGCCACACTTTACGACTTTCTAACAGGTCCCGATTTTCCCGGTTTTCGGGTCATTGACCTGACCTGGAAGGTCACCCGATGACCTAGGACCTTAAAATAGGGTATCATCGGCTTCCGCTCGTGACGGGCAACACGCTCGTTTTTTCCGCAAAGCTCTAGCTCGATCAGGGGCCAAACGCGAGGGGGGTCGTACCAACCCCCCCCCCCCCTTGTGCCGTCGAAGGACGCAAAATGGCCTGTGCCGGCGAGGGTTAACCATCGGCCGGTTCACCAACTCCACCAGAACTGGAGAGCGCCGACGGATTTAGTACCAGTATCGATTTTGTCACACTCAAGGTATCTTTCCCAACCGTATGGTGATTTTTGGATCGGTGAATCCATGGTACTCGACAGATATTTCATATTGTTGTTCATAGATGGCAGTAGCGTCAGCGCCTGAAGGTTTACTGCGCCGCATGGCCGAGGCCTTTATACCAGCTTCGGAGGATGCCGCCCACTAGAGTCAACTACATAGACGGTGCCTTCGAAGTTTGAGCTGATGAATTGGCAGCTTGTCTCCGGACAAGACATCTCCAAAACAGCCAGGATTAGCACACATTTATTGTTTAGTTGTACAGTCCATGTGTCTTGCGTTCCAGTTTCCTATCTATTCGATATGAAAGGGCAAGCTTTACATGCACCATGCAGTATGCATGGAATAAGACAAGAGATAACATTTACATTTATCTTTTCAGCGATTTTCCTTTTTGTTAAAAAAAAAAAACGAATCATGTCGAAATGTCACATTGTCCAAGTGTCGTCAAGAACAAGGGCACCGGCCGTTGATGCATAACGGAAGCACGGGTCAAAAAACACTGCACGAACGTTTATCCAATCGTCAACAATAGATCACCCAATTATCAATTATCATAGTCCACAGCGGGCAGGAACAGGAAGAAGCTAGTGAAGCGAAGGCCTTAGGAGTGAAGCTATCGGAAGTCCAACAAGGCACAACACAAGCCCACCGGGACACTGAGCGCCGAGATAATGACCTGTTGGGGTCACCGTTCGTGACCTTTTCGGGTCAACGTCTGTGACCTTTTGGCCCACGTCCGTGACCTTTTAGAGTAAATTTGGGTAGGCGTATGTGACCTTTTGGGGTCAACGCTCGTGACCTTTGGGAACAACGTTCGCGACCTTTGGTCAACGTTCGTGACCTTTTGGGGCCAACTTTCGTGACCTTTAAGGTTCAAAGTCCGCGACCTTTTGGAGTTCCCTAACGTTCGTGGCCTTTATGAGGGGTCAGTCCCGACCCACCACAGTGCTCAAATATTTGAGCGTACAACACTGTGCGAAAGTCGTGCATTAAGTTCTTGTCGATAAAGCTATCGCAAATATCACTTTTATAAAAAATGTAGCGATTGGCACGGTTAGGCAGAAAACTAAACACAACCACCTAGCAACATGTATAAAAACAAGTCACGAAGACGAAACACAGAAGCCAGGGTCAGCTGGTCTCAGGAGCAGGCCCCGTTTGGTTTATCAGGAAGTCGGGTGCGCGCTGTCTTGAATCAACAAACGAACAGGATAGTTGACGGGTGTTTGGCGGTCTGCCCAGCGGAACGGCCGACGAGTACTGTTCAGGATGTGGCGGAGTTACAGGTCATCGGAGTTGATGGAAAGTCCGGCACAGCTACCGTGATGATGTGATGATAAGAAGAACATGACATGACGAACATGACGTCTGTATGCAGGGCGCGATGGTATCAGCTAGTGTTCCAAGCGTGTGAGCGATTATCAGTCGGTAGCTTGGAACATTTCCACATTTCAAGACACAAAGTTCACCAAATGGTCTGTTTGAGTCACTAATTGGTTAATGTTGTTGAAACTTTCATTACAACCTGCGGAGTAACTGATCACCGGCCTTGTGTTGGAATCGAAGGCCATGAATGTTCGATTCGAGCCATGCGTCGAACGTCATTGATCTTCGACCCATTACAACGGTCACCTGCCAACCACAGTGGCCCCATAACAAACCCGTGACCCCGTATCGACCGTCTGACTCAAGTTCACATTCTACTCACCCCAGTATGCTGAATTTCAGGTTTCAACACCGGCTGGGGCAGGGCAGACGTTGCATATCCCGAACTAGCTGCCACCGGTCTCACAGCCCCGACCAGGGCGCGGCCGCTCAGAAGACGCAGCATCTCTTCGACCACAAAGAGACGCTTCACAGACGTGAACCCCCCGTCCGAACGTCAGACGGACGACTGCGACTCAGCCAAGCCGGTAGAACGCTAGCCACCCGGCCTCCGGCCCCTAGTCTCAAGGTCATGGCCAGAGGCGGTGCCAAGGACGAGCGGCAGGGGAGGCAGAGATAGTGGTAGCCGAGTTATTTATATTGGGACGAGATTTTGAAACCGGTCGGAAGGTGGATAAATGAGGCTATTTAGAAAGGAGAGACCAGTGGCGTATTTAGAAATCGGTTGAAGTGGTGCACATTGTGTGAGTTCGGCAGCAGCGTAATTTAGCACCCACCACTATAACTATCTCGCCGTTGTGTTATAATACACCACGTCTTTCGAACGAAGTCGTCTTCATGTGCCTATGCAGCAGGATAGGACAGGATTGCACGAACATGTCATGGTAGGAAAAATGAACAAACCAATCCTCATGTATGGTTTACCATGCAAGGTAGACAAAAGTAAAAAGCTCGGTGCTCAGCGCTCTCAGTCTGCAAAGTCTGATACCTTTCCTATGAACCGCTGCCATTGCAATGCGATGTTGCACCTCTAATCTAATCCAGTCCGCTGCCACAGTCCAAACCACGGACGTGTCTCTCTCCCAGGCCTTTGAACTGCGTCACGGCCGACGTCCGGAGGGGTTTCCCCGATTTCATCAGCTAGTCGGCCCATGTCACGAAGCACTCGCGTGATACCCGGAGGGGGTGTCGAAAGTCAACACAGATAAAGTACCGCGGGCGGCAGTTGGGGCCCTAAAACGGGTAACTGATATCCAATCAACATGATATAGTAGGTGTGACACTATGAAGACGACAGGCAGGCGCCACAGAACCCTCCAGGATAGTCCCAGTAGAATAAACTACATGGCTCTGGTTACTATACGACTAAACACAAGGCTCTGGTAACTAAACACAAGGCTCTGGTAAGTATACACAAGGCTCCCATGCCACAAGCGCAGGCAAGACCCGTAACTCAATCAGACTAGAGTCTGAGACCACTAGCGTCAGAGCCCTAACAAAGTTAGAGTTCGTCGAACTCAAGTGAGCCAGCCCTGTCTCATTCCACTGATAACACGGAAGCCATTCTTCTAGCGGAATGGCGGTGGAATGGCTGTGACGATATTTCCCAGAGCGGATGTGATGATTGGCTTATTAGCGGTGGGAGCTAGGCGATGTTGAAGTGCAATCGTTCATCATAGTGCCGCGATAGATCACTCGTCGTACAGTCTGTCTTAAAAGTACCGCGCAAAGTGACGGTGGATCCATCAAGCCTGACCGATGAAGGACTGCCAAATTTGAGTCACCGAAGCAATGGACATCCTCGTCCATTCCCCAGCTCCATTGGTTCGGTGACTTTCAAATTATAGCAGGCCCTTCCTCGGTCAGGCTTGATGGATCCACCGTCACTTTGCGCGGTACTTTTAAGACAGACTGTACAACGCCGCATCTCCCCGTAAATTACTTTACATCGTTTTTATTACGCACTTAAAAATGAAACCCAATTCCACTGTTACATTTATAGGAGGCTCGTTTAAGGGTAGGGTCATGCCACTGCCATGCTTAGTGTATCTTCCAACCAATGCTTGCTGACGCTTTAGGCTTATCTTACTATCGAAGCAATCAATAGTCACAGGATAACGTTACTTTTATTATACCACAAATCACAGTAAAAGGACACATTATCCAGAAAACTGACTGAAAATGGATCACATGGAAGCGTGTTTGCGGCTAGAGATACATGTAAATATTGATCATACACCACAAAAACTATGTAAGAATGGTTTATGGTAAGTACAAGAACACAAAAGGGAACAAGACAATGGATGACAATATGGGCTATATGAGGAAGTAGACACCTTCAGAGTCCTTATCAACAATCCTTACATTGATCAAGCACGGCATCCTTTGATGCAACAGTCCCTTGAAGTTGGCATTCACATTTCGCATTACAAGGGCCGCCAGGGGGCCAAGACTATCCTAGAACTTTCCAAACCTTCAGTCTCATTGTTATCTTTCGCCTAAAGACGACTGATAAACAATACTAAATTAGATGTGTGAACGTGAGAGTTAAATATTCAACCTCAAACCAAGCACAAAAAGCAATATTAAGAATGAACTCTCTTCACATACACTGTCTTCAAGTACATTAACTGTGGAAATGATCTACTTTCACTCAGCAGAAATAACTTTCGAAAAATAAGCCAAAATAACTACAGCTATGAGCTAGACACTTCAACAACTTCATACCAACACCACACCATCACATGGCAATATCTCAGCATGAGGGACCTGTATGATCTCAAACCCCAGGTCTGGTGCGGGTGGCACCAAGCACCAGCCCGGGACGGGCTTAAACTGACCGAAACATTACCTCTTTCGCTGCCAATTTTCACCTTCACTGTCTCTCTTAGAATATCAGAGCACTTTGTTCATCCACACCACACAATGGTGTCTTTGTCCCCTTCATGTGGAGCCACTGGGAAGTAACGGGCTGTCTCATCTGAACTCATAAATCTCGGTGGTGTGGCAGGGCTCGTATTGTAGCGCCAGGGACTGGTACCTGAAGTACGGAAAACTGGCGTGAGATGGCGCTGACGGCCATCGGACAGGTTGAACGGGACACTGCCACTGATAATGTCGTAGTAATTGTAGTAGGGCAGCAATATTTTTATATGATTGAATGCCAAGTTATAGTTGCTTGAATAGCTAGATCATGAGCTTTTCCAAGCCATAGGAGTTAATAAAGTAAAATCTATCCCGTACCTATCCCGTATAGCTCTGCCCTGCAAAGGCAAAAACGCTGACGTTACGACATATTACGTCAGGGCAGAGGTCATCCGAACGTTTTTTTTGCCTTTGCACAATATGTAGAACTTCGAACCGCGGTGCAAAATTTCCCGTTTCGATTCTTGTCTGTTTCTCGAAGCCGACAGTTTTTGGCATAATTGGCTCTTTTTTTACTATGCAGATTGACAAAGGTCCGGAGCTAACTTTTGGCAGTTTGTTGCGCATGCCCAGAACCCCACCATCCGATCGCGCAATTCCGTGTAGGTACTCACATTTCCGACTTTTCGTGATAGTAGTAGCCCTCGATCTGTGAGGACGCCTTCATGAAGCAGATGTAGTAGAAACCGGCAAACGAGGCGCCATTGATGTCCTTCACCTGGAATAAAAGCAAAACGACACCCCTTCAGTTCAGTAGGGGAGAGTGGGGCACATTCGTGCATGGGGCACATTCGTTTTCAGCAGTTTATGGGAACACGAGTGACTGCACGAGCTCAAGGTAAATTATGGAAATATGTCTATCATTGCCGCCCTTCGTTCACCGTAGAAGACAACACTGTACCTGCTGTCATGCTTGATAAAAACGCAAATTTGTAATATTCGTGAGCTTTCCAAACTTTTCTCATATCATCCATTTTCGTGATCCTGACTCGGAAATGTGGTTCAGCTTTTCAAAATTGGGGGTGAAGAAGCCCACTCTATTCACGGAACTGCTGCAAACTTGTTTGTTGAAAAAGTGTCATTTTTTTCAAAAAGAAATTTTGAAATATATTACTAATAACGCTGTGGGGCAGGTTCGTGTACGCACTGCATGGGGGCACATTCGTGTATATATTTTTTTTTAGTTTTTGCGATTTATGACTTTATCTGTAGTAGGTTTCTCTAATGACGCTCGCCTGACTCAGTCTCGACTGCTTGCGACGTCGTGACGAGCAATTCACGCGAACTTGGCGAGGTCACGGAGGCCGGCAGTTGGCACATTCTTGTTGGCCAGCCCATTCTTTCTACATTTGTTGTGCAATGCATTCTTGTCGAAAGGAATCAAGTGAAATGACCCCCTGCCAATTTCCTTTGGTAAATTTCTGGTAATGCCCGGTAATTTCTCGAATTTTGCCGGGTGAACGGAAGTGCCCCATCTCTTGAACGAATGTGCCCCATAGGTGGGGCAGTTTCGTGCAAATGTTCAGAGTTAATAAAAATCATTTTTTTCTAATGGAAGCAATGATTTTATAGGATAACTTTTAAAGAGGAAAACTATCTGCAATAGTTCCTTTCCATACGCAAATTGAGCGCATTGATAACTTCTGGGCTATGTACCGGAAAGCTGTTTTCGGCTTCATGTCTCGTATCGGACAATCTCGCAATGGCATCATCGCATCCCTATTTCATGGGGATCTTCGCTTTTTGTCGTCAATTCGACAGACCTGGTCCACTGCACTGTTTGCATATAGCTGATTGTATATAGCATATAGCCGATCACTGATCAGTGATCTTTTACTTACATGTACCTTTTTTATTGGACCTCGAGTCTGCAAATATAGAAATCTCTCTCTCTCATACTACAATCAACAATTTTGCCATTGCACTAACCAAAGAACAGATATATGGGTTTATCCATTTTTTGCACGAATGTGCCCCACTCTCCCCTATGTGACAAGTGTGACAAAACAAGCACGCATTACGCGACAAAGTTTTCTTGAAGATATGACAACCCAAATCTCATGAAAACAAGGTATCCTCGGATCTTATTCTCAGATCATTAGCTATTCTAGCTTAGCACAATGCAGCGTTTGGAATCGTACAGACGTCATAAGCATTAACAAAGTAAGTGTAACATTACACTTTTATATATAGTTAACGCTATTCATTTCTTTAGTAGACAGAAAACCAATGCCTGTCCTTTACTCTCGCCCCTAAAAAGCGAATAGACAAAATATAACGAAAAGATAGCGAATAACAAACAATTATCCCACATACCCGACACCCCGCTCCCCTCCCTCCCCCCCCCCCCCCCCCCTCCAACGCCCAGTTCGCTCACCTGATGGTCGGGAATGAGGAAACTCTCCTTCCACCGCATAAATACCGCATCGTGAGAGTCCAACACGCCAAAGTCAAAGTCGTCCGTGTTGAACGTCTTGCTGAACGGAGCGAACGCCTCGAATTTGCCCTGTGGGTGCAATATGGGGGGGGGTGAGTGATGGGTAGGGTCAGGGTGGCAGGGTAGTGTGGTGCGACGCTGGTGTATTAAAGGGGTCTGGAGAGTGCGGAGCCAGGGGCGTCTAACGACGATGTGGAAACAAAAATGAGAAAACAGCGTGAACTTGCAATAACCATTGCATGATTGATATGATAAGTAACGTTGGCAGAATCCCTGTAAAGTGCATGTAACACAATGTTTTATGTCTATAAGCAATAGTGAAAAGGCTACAAAAGCAAAAAAGTCGTCAGGTATCGATTCAAAAATTACAGAAAAATCGAAATTCATTTTACTGTACCCAGCATGGTAAAAAATAACAAATATCGTCTGCTGCACTTAAACAATCTTCTACTAAACCCAATAAAGACGAATTTCGCAAGTCTGGATTCTGGAACCAATGATCTGTAGCCGGGCACTTTCATTCGATCTTCCGATCCGTCTTTTTCCAGACTCTATTTGTCCATCCATCTACCCGTCAGCTCACCCAGTGTTTGGTGTCCACCTCTTCATTGGCGTCCCACTTCCTCGTCAAGAATGGGTGGCGCCTGCCGATGATCTCGCCGTCAAAGTAGGTGACCATTGTGGGAAAGTCATCAGTGAGGTTGTTGATCTTGAGGTAGCCGCAGAGGTAGGCGTTCTCAAGGTCCACCTTCTGCCGGGGGTGAAGAAAAGAAAACGAGGGTGATATGGAGTCAGACACTACATAGTGCTAAGTGCTACACAAGTGTTTGTGGATATGGAGAAAACCATGATGAAGTATCTAGAAAAAGATGAAAATTTATGGTGAAAACTTTGAGAAATTTTGAAAATAACCTTCATTCAGTAATAACAATGCTTCTACCAGCTGATCTTTGAAATCATATTCCACTTCAAAATCAACCAAGTCAATAACCAACCCTCTATTACGATCAACAACACATAAAAGTGATAAATGATAGCTACACCCCAGTAAGATAAAAAAGAGAGGCAACTAGTACCACAACTACTAAGAAAAAGCCTTGACAATTGTTATGATATTGTCACTTTAACATCCATCCCATCCTATTAATGCTCACCTTCAGTTCCACCTCCACATCATAGCAGTTGCCTTTGGACTTCTGGAATCCCTTGAACACGGCTCCATCATGCAGGGGAGAGGTCACAACCCCCGGCTGATGGGAATTTAGCGGCGGCGGTGGCGCCTCCATAGGCTCCAGGCGCACCGGCATTGCGCTGGTGCTGAGCAGTGGCCCACTGGCGGGGAGTTGTCGCGCTCCGGTGGCTGGCAGCGGCACAGCAGAAGCTAGTAGTAATGCAGCAGTGATGTGAAGTGGAGCAGAGTTGTCAGTTGTGGAGTCTCACCGGGACAGCCTGTAAAAAAAAAAAACAGAAAAATAAAAATATCAAATAAGGTGGCTGCTATAAAAGCAAATGCTAAACAACAACAGAATTACTCAGAGTATCACTATGCAAACTGACTAGGTACTGAGTGAAGCCTACAGCCTGAAACCACTGTCACTGTCAAGTGTCACTGTCACTTATTTCCACTGTCAGGAAATCCCATGCGAGAGCCTAGTAAATACATGGAACTCATGGAAGCACTAGCACATCAATGGCATGCACCTCCCATGACCCACATGCGATTGATGCAGGGAGAATTATGGGGTGGAGACTTCCATTGGCGTCCAACTAGCGTACACTGATCAGACACCCAAGGTGGCGTCTAACTGTTGGACAGAGACTTCCAAGCTAGACGCGTCTACAGTTACCTGTTGCCAGATAGATGCAGCCGCCGTCCAGCTAGTCACATCTAATGCTTAGACCAGGGGTCGGCAAATGGTGGGGCATGCCCCCTTTGGGGGTAATGGAGCCCTTTCGGTGGGGGTAATGAGGGATTCTGAGAAAGCCTATCTTTTTAGAGTTTGTAGCTCCAGTGATGGAGCCATCGTGACTGTTGCATCCCAGGGTTCAAAGATTAGCCCAGGCCAAAGGCACAGCACACATTGATTAGATACCAACTTCATTTACCTGCTCGCCTCACCATCTCAACCCTCCGTACAGTCGTACAAAAGCAGCTGCAACTTTTAACCGTCGCCCGTCTGTTGGCGTTTCAACAGCCGCTAACGTAAGGGGGAGGAGTCGATCGGACCCCCGCGGCCTCTCGGACTCTGAGATGGAGCTGTGCGTAAAAAAGACGAGCGTGCTACCCGTGACAATAGGAAGCCGCTGCTGCCCATTTTTAACCCGGCGGCCGCTGGGCCTCCGCGCCACCCGCCGGCCGCTGGGGGGGGGGGCATATAGTTGCCCCCCCCCTTTACTTCTGCGACGATATCGTCGCAACGCGAAGAGATAGAGAAGCGAAACTTTGCACACATCTTCCTGAATACCTAGCCGAGGTTGTGTCCAAATTTGGTGTCGATCCCATTTGAAATGACGTCACAGTGACGTCATAAGTGAAATTATAGATTTGCGACTCTCATATTCCTCACGATACATCAGATATATGGGACCGAATATAAAGGGCCGATTATTGGTCAGAAACTAGATGGAAGTGTAGTTAGATGTTTTAGGATGACAGCAGGTGCTGTTTAGTTCATTTACAGTCGAGTTTCATGCTCAGCGTCATCAGAAACGGCCCATATCGGAAAACGACAAAACTTTATGACGTCACTGTGACGTCATCTTAGGTGCTACAACCACAAAACTTTCCTCAAACATTGCCTAGGTATTCATTTGAAGCTATGCCAAGTTTCACGTTCGTAGCTCATCAGGTTTCGGAGATATTTCACAAAACGTAAAGGGGGGCAACTTTATGCCCCCCCCCCCCCCCCCCAGCGGCTCGTGGGTTAAGGTCCTTGGTCATTCCGTCTTATTCAAGAGGACAACGACAAGTGTCGAGAAAATGGGGACCCGCTATAACTTCTTGAAGTGAGATTTTATGGCTCAAGATGATCTCCAGAAAAAGCTCATAAGCCAACGGTCATTATGGGTCCAGAGGCCAGTTTCACCAACAGAAAAATAGCCGCCTGCCGGAATTTTTTGCCTATGTGAAGCGGTCTTGAGGCAAAAATTCCGGCAGGCGGTTATTTTTCTGTTGGTAAAACTGGTCTCAGGTCATGATATTTTCCGGGCTGGTAAAAAAAAAATGATGGGCTCGAGGGTACAATTTGGTCGTGATCCAATGCCTTTTACATGAGCTTTTGACGAAAAACCACCCGCCGCCCCCATACGTACAAGGGTTAAATGGGATATAGCATAGGCGGCGGAATGGGGAGGGCACCGGGGCACCGTGCCCCCTTTGATTTTTGCATTTTAACATTAGCCCTATGGCGTTGCATGGAAAGAATGGGACCAAAAGTCGGCAGTGCCCTCTCCTCCTCCCCCTTAATCAGGGTTGGCATTTTTGCCGGCAAAAGCTAGTTTATGCCATTTGCCGGTTTAAACCGGTTTTAACCGGCAAAAAGTGGCAAAAACTGGCAAAAACTAAAATCTATCATGATGCTATGCCTAGACATGCATTTGAACAGGAAACATTTTAAAGAGGATTCAGTGAAAGCTTTATGCTTTCAAACAGAAGTCAGATATTGACCATTGCAGTGTTTAATACCTCAGAAGCATTTTCATGGGCTTTCCATAAGTAACCAGTAAGACGCCTTTTGGGGGTGACAAATGAGCCAGTGCAAGGGCGAGTCCTGCACATGCAGAAGTGCGAAAGAGTATCAGCTGCCACTGATATGTGCATGGCACCCTACTTACCGGTTCCTAACGGTGCCAGTACCAAATTTGAGCGCAATCGAGGCAGCCGTTCTCGAGAACTGTAAGCGTCGCCCCTCTTGTGCGCATGTGGAAAGTGGAGGTGTTCCAAATTTGAGAGCAATCGGCCCAGCCATTCTCGTGTTCTGCTCGGAAGCGTCCCTTGCACGTGTGCACGTGCATTAGCATCCCAACCGTGATACATGGAAATGCATTGTGTTTGTGTGCGTTGTGTGCAAGGCATTGTGTGATGGACGTCTACCAACATGCAGTCATTTTAAGCAGAGGTTAACTAATTTGGCAAACTTCATCATGTTTAGTGCCCCTCTATAACTTCTAGAAATGCATTTGTGCATTTCAAATCAATTGGAAACTAGAAAAGTTGTAGTTTCGGCCTCCTGAGTTTTAGCCAGTTTTTGCCAGTTTCTGCCACCGGGGTTTCTGCCAGCCGGTTAAAACCGGTAAAAACCACTGGCAGAAACCAGTTTTTGCCACCCCCTGCCAACCCTGCCCTTAATTGAAGGTGTTCCGCCGCTACTGGGATATAGCATATAGGTATTAAATGTTTTGTGGAGGAAGTGTCATGTTTTAAATTTGATGCATTGGAAATGCACCGATACCCAAAGAGTTCCAGGACGGTATGGAATTTCAGTAGGGGAGAGTGGGGCAAAGCGGCCACCCGGGGCAAAGCGGCCACCCATCGTTTTAGCCCTTCATGACTGGCGTCAGTTCCAATTTATGGTTTCCAATTATACTTCTCTTCACGGTCGTTCGAATGTGCCAGACCGGGGTTTCAGGCCCATCACCATTGTTCTGTGAAACACGGAAAAGCATTTCTTGCCAGGTTACCAACTATGTTTACAATTTTTAAATGTTTTGTTATTCCATAACCGTTTGGAATTTTTATAAGCGTTCTTGTCCATGCATTGCATGGTTATCGTACATGTATTCTACCAATTTTAATGTTTTTTACCCCACTAATAGCTAAGCTGGAATATTTTTGTCTCGGACGGTATGCGCGGGGCAAAGTGGCCGGGGCAAAGTGGCCACCCCCAATTGGTCATAAGTTGCTTCCATCTGGATAAAAAAACATAATTTATATTCAAATGTGTCGTCATGCAATTATCTTGGCCAGTTTTCAGTTGCATGAGTTACCAAATAATGCAATTCAATGTTTATTTTCATGAAAATCCTTTCTTTGTTTACCTACGGGTGGAAGATGATAAAGTAAACATCCATCCTCGCTTAACCTTGTCACCATCAAATACCGTAGTCGTACACAAGACAACTATTTTGTTTCTCATATCGGGACTTGAGAAGACGCCGGTGGCCGCTTTGCCCATGGGTATGGGACAAAGTGACCAATATGCATAGGTTTTAAGTTTTGTCAATATCTTTCATATGTGAACGCCTTTGGAAATAAAACGCAGTTGAAATAAAAGGCAACTTAATAGGGATCACATTGGTATAGAAAGAATCTCTCCAAGTTTAAAAATCAAGCGTTGGCATCGTGAGAAGCGTTAGGGTGGCCGCTTTGCCCTACTCTCCCCTAAACTTGGTTGTGTCAGCAATGGGGTCTGGTAGGTGGGGGTAATGGCCCTGCCTGGCGCCCAAAAAGGGGGCACGACCCCGAATGACCTGCCGACCACTGGCTTAGACGCATGTAGCTAGACACCAAATGAAAGTCTCCACCCATGGTGTATTTGAACAAGCTCTCACGACTCACATATTTCCTGAACGCGGAAAAAGCAGGGCCTATTTTAACATGTTAACTGGGGGGGGCAAATGCCCCCTCACTCAACAGAATTGCCCCCCCAGTCGTCGAGATTTGCCCACGATAAAAATGGGCATAAAGGAATAGGGTGACAAACATACTACTGTGACTTGTTTTGCAATGGATGTCAAATGAGTCAAGCTGCAAGTAATGACCAGTGGTGGATCCAAGGGTGGGTCATATGGGTCATGACCCCCGCCCTCTTGGGGCCCGGGGACATCACAGGCCTGCCAGGGGCACCACCCGCCTGTCAGGGACACCACAGGCCTGTTGGGAGCACCATCGACCCAGCAAGAGCACCATAGGTCTGCCAGGGGCACCACAGACCTGCCAGGGGCCCCACCGACCTCGCAGGGGCACCTTGGGCCTGTCAGGGGCACCACTGGCCTGTCGGGGGCACCACAGGCCTGTCAGGAGCACCATCAGCCTAGCAAGAGCACCATAGGTCTGCCAGGGGCACCACAGACCTGCTAGGGGCCCCACCGGACTCGCAGGGACACCACCTTGGGTCTGTCTGAGGGGTATTTACCACCACAGGCCCGCCAGGGGCACCACAGGCCTGCCAGAGGCATCACAGGCCTAGCAAGGGCACCACGGACCTGTCAGCGGCACCACGGGCCTGTCGGGGGCACCTCAGGCTTGTCAGGCCCAAGGGACACCACAGTCCTTTCAGGGGCACCACAGGCCTGTCAGGGGGACCAGAGGCCTAGCAGGGACACCACATGCCTGGCAGGGGCACCACCAGCCTCGCAGGGACACCTTGGGCCTGTTAGTGGCACCACGTGCCTGTCGGGGACACTCCAGGCTTGTCAGGAGCACCACAGTCCTGTCAGGGCCCAGGGGCACCAGCGGCCGAGCAGAGGCACCACCGGCCTAGCAGGGACACCACCGGCCTCGCAAGGGCATCATGGGCCTGTCAGGGGCACCACGGGCCTGTCGTTGGAACTTCAGGCTTGTCTGAAGCTGACTTCACCTGTCATTGGGTTTTTACCTGTTGGTGATCAATACATCATACAATCATACAATCAGGGGCACCACAGTTCTTTCAGATGCACCGGCTGCCTAGCACCATGGCACCATGTTTGGCCGGGATCGCGATTCGGCGTATGTCGCCTCGCATTAGCCGCGCGTTTGCAGTCTTTTCGTGGTTTCAAACGTTCAAACATGGGATATGATGTTGCTCCCATGCATTAGGGTGGGTGTCAAGGTCACCGGAAGGTCAGGTCATTTACCTTTGATGACCTCGGTTCACATTTTCGAGTTTTATATGTTTCTAGGCTAGTTTTTGGAGCTGAATTCGAATTTAGCAACCATTTGACCGTTTACAAAGTAGTTTTGGTGCCTTTGTAACATGTTACGAAGCTGTCAGACGCGGTTGCCACCTACTACGAATACCCGACAAAACCCTTACTGGTTGAACTGACCTGACATGACCCGACCTGGCCTAAATGCATGAAGACATCATCTATGATCATAACTAACATGATATTTGTGATCAGCACCCCGAAAACAAACATAGCAGCCACCCTTTACGACGCTCTAACAGGT